CCCCTTCTGGAAGTGTTTTGCGGTTCCCGGCTGCCTCTTCGCGCTGGAGAAGGGGCTCGGCTTGGCTCGGCGGCGTGCCGGGGGGCTGCGCATCGTGGAGGTCAACCTGCTCCCTTCCAAGGTCGGCACCCGGCGAGGGTCTCCGTGCCCCTTCCCACCTCCCTCCTGCTGCTCTCCTCTCCCCAGAGCCTGCCTGAAGGCGCCGTGGGGCACGGAGACACCTGGAATATTTGCGGTTTGGGGAAAAGCGCTTGGCAAGTGACCCCGTGGGTTATTTGAGGCGGGAGGAGGGACGTGGCAGGGGGTGACGGCCCCGATGCGTTTGCAGAGCGAGCTGGGAGGGGGGGACGCCCCCCACCCCGGCCACGGACAGGGAGGGAGCAAGGCGCCACGAACAGCTTGTGTGGAAAAGATGCGGGTTCGGGCCGCTGCGGGCTGTGCTGGTGAATGTTCGCAGCACGAGGTGAAAGCCCTTTTTTTTGTTTGCAAGCCGTTTTTTTTTTTTAATTTAGAGTTTTGCCTATTTTTCAAGTGAAAAAACCTAAGCTCCTAGGACCGCAAAAGACAGCACGACAACTGCTTTGACGTGGTTTCTTCCAAAAAATTGCTGTTTAAGGCCAGCCCTAAGTAAGATTTACGTTTGGTAGCGAAGCGAATAGGAGGATAAACCCCTTTCTCAGGTCGAAGCCGTGAGTCCACCTCGCACCGGCCGCTTTTTAAAGCTGGAGGCACAAGCTGGGCGCTCGTGGGGGGCAGCGAGGCCGCCCCGGCCGAGACCGACCAGCGTGACGTGCCCGCGGGGCGCTCCCAGCTTCTCTGGTCCTGCTTCCCCCCAGGTCACTCACCTCGTGATCGAGAGACCACAGTTTTTCCGCTACAAGCCCGGAGACTACGTCTACCTCAACATCCCGGCCATCGCCACCTACGAGTGGCATCCCTTCACCATCAGCAGCGCTCCCGAGCAGCAAGGTGATCGCCAGTCCTTCGCTCGTTTTGCATTGCCGGGACGTTTTGCATCGTTGCAATGTCGTTTTGCATCACCAGGATGATGTTTGCATCATTGCACGCTGTTTTGCATCACCAGGGTGATGTTTGCATCGTTGCAATGTCGTTTTGCATCACCAGGGTGATGTTTGCATCATTGCACGCTGTTTTGCATCACCAGGGTGATGTTTGCGTCGTTGCAATGTCGTTTTGCATCACCAGGATGATGTTTGCATCGTTGCAATGTCGTTTTGCATCACCAGGATGATGTTTTGCACCGTTGCAATGCTGTTTTACATCACCAGGGTGATGTTTTGCACCACTGCAATGCTGTTTTGCATCACCAGGGTGATGTTTTGCATTGCACAAGCCCTCTCTGGGCAGTTGGATCCCTGCTGAAGGTCGTGCAAAGAGGTGTCCGTGCCCGTAGAGCAGGGCAGCGTGTGTTCCTGCACACCTCCACTCACCCACCTCCACCTCTGCCCGTACATACGCGCTGTATAAAACCACGTGCTGGGGTTATTTCGAGCAAGGGCACTGAAGGGCACCCTGCCCGGCTCCATGGGTGCCCAAGGTTTGGGATCTGGGCTTCACCCCGCTGTTAGGGCAAACCCAGTCCCCTGCTGCAAGCCCGGGACTGACGTGAAGGACGTTGGTGGGGACGGCTGCCGGGTCCCCGGGGCCGGAGCTGTGCGGTGCTGGGGCGGCGGGGCAGTTCCTCCCGTCGGACGCCCACCCCCCTGCTCCGCTGCATCCCGCAGAGACCCTCTGGCTGCACATCAGGGCGCTGGGCCAGTGGACCACCAAGCTCTACGAATACTTCCAGCAGCCCGAATCGCCCGGCCCGGAGCCAAAACCGCTCAGCAGGAGCCTGAGGGAGAAGAGGCGCCGGCGCTGGGCGCAGGTCGGTGCGGACGGGGCTCAGCTTTGG